TTATCAATAACTAAATGAACATGAACGTGTCGTCGTACCTGAGTCGCTGGATCAGGTAATATTTCTGAAATTAAATTTTCATTCAAGGTTTCAGTTAAACTGTCTGTTATACACTACAAGCTGAAACCTTGTTAATAAGTCTTTGAAAACTTTCATAATCACGGATCATTTATGTATTACGCTCTCTACAAAGCATCTTTGAAGTACTTACAGCCGAATAAATGACAGGAAAATCTTTTTAAAACAATGACCGCAGAATGACGACCAACGGAGTGGACATACAAAAGACATAGATGATGTTTAATGGATGACATCAGGAAATAAAACAAGAATAAAATGGCATTCTCTCGTCAAGGATTCATCGGTGTCTTACAAAAATAACAAATATTACCCAGGGTAAAAATTTTTTGGAGTATTTAGCTTTAGTTAGCAAGTTTATCCCCAACGGTTTACACGGGATTAATATGCAATTTCCTGATGGTTTACTGTTGAAAGAGCTAAACAAACACACCAAGGCTGCAGCAAATAGATACATATCGCATTGCTTTAAGCGAATAGAACACCTGGATCCCTTCCAATGATGCACGCCTATTTGAACTATTGCTGTCATTACCTGCATTTCACGTTGTAAGAGAGTGACGCAATAACACGGCATACCGCATAGGGCGGGATTATACTTATCACTACATTTTTGATGGCCTAATCTGTTTCAGATTATCACAGCTCGCATAATCGCCATCTGTTGCGAAATTTTTGCATGCCATACGTCATTAAAATATTATTCCATGCTATAAGAGAACACGTCGTAATTAAAAAGATGAAACGTATTATTCGATGTTTCCTTCAGACGCTATTTTAAATGTGCAAACCCAGCGCGAAATGACTCGATTACGTTGAACTCCCAACACTGTCGTACACTGGAATCCAGACACGGAACTTGCTTAAACCTACGGGCATCGAGAGCAGTCAAATCTTCTTCTCCCATACCAAAAGCAGCGGTTCGCTATGAAAATGAATGAATATAGTATATGAAAAGAATGGGTATTTGCCAGAAATAAGTCAATAAGCAAAAAATCCATTAAATCGAGCCTCTGTGGCGTACCCTGGTATTTCTCCTAGATGATTATGAGGAGGCGAATATCTAGTAGATCGATTCTGAAAAATCGCTGTTGATGAGCGAGCTCTAGTGAATACAATCATGCTGCCTCGACGCATGATAGCCTGTTTAACTCCTTAGCACCAAAAAGCAATACAGCTGTGCAATAGCGTTGTGAAACCCTGTTTCATGTAATTATGCAGCTATTAATTATAAAATGCGAGATGTGATAATACAGTATGACCGCCCAACATATCATCGTCACGGACAACCCACAGATGAAAGTGCGCATCCGTCAGTAATCCATATCATGGACTTTCTGTTTCATACTATCACACGCTTCTATGCAAGAATGAAGCTTACCGATTATGTCTGAGATACTGCTTGTTTTACTGTTGTTGCATAAATCTTAATGGTTATACTTGTTAGGATAAGTCTTTTCAAAATAAACCGCGCTTGTCGGTCCATTGTTTTTGAAAAATATTTCGAAAGAAAACCAGTCAGCCGCAGATGAAACTGAAATGCACACAGGCATTTGTATTATGACTTTGAAGGGTAGATGCCAAAACCAAGAAACAAACATTTCACAGTAACTATAACATGCATCTGAAGTCGACTCTGGCGCAAAAATTCATTCATAGACATAATATAAACTGCAAAATTAAATTTTGCTGGCGTTAGTGTCACAACAGCGGAGACGGTAGACAACTCTAAACGCCTACCGCCACGAACAGGCACAATGTATATGGATATATATTTGTGAATGACTAATTTTTCTGGTCACTGTGCACACATAACGCAGCTGCTGGCAGATGTGAACGCACTGACTTGACCGATGAATCAGTCGTGCTCAGAACCGAACTATCGAAATTAAAACACCCAAATACCTACTTTCATGCTAAAGCCTGAATTTAATTCTACAAATCGACAATGGATTGCCTAGTACAGCATCTGCGAACAATTAAAGGATAACGAATATAAACACCGGTCGACAAAAAACCAGGATGTTTATCGATATCTTAGAACTAGCGATTCGACACAACTTTTAAATTTTATTTACAAACACACCAGTACGAAAGCGCAAAAGGAGGACCAATTTTAAATCGATCTAACAGCCTTTACCAGCCAGACTTGAACCAATCACTAAATTTTAAATTTAATCACTCTTTCACGAGTTTTCGTTCTACCGTTCAAACGGGAACTTTCAAAAAAATTCAATCCTACGGACAACCTTAGAACATTACTATTTCACAACGGCAATATCGAGAATGACGAACAGCTGTAACCAAGTGCATTCTGTACTCCACGCCTACCTGAATCCATCGGGGGAAAAACTTCTAGAGTTGTACACGCTGCAAAGACCAAATACTTCAAGCAAAGATTTGTACTAAAGATAGTTACAAGAGAGAATTCTACTCAATAAAACAACTAACATCATTTACGAAATCAGCTGTAACTCTAGATATATGAAAAAATGTCACGATCCCTAAAAGTTAATTATGGAATGTGAATGCATAATCGAATGACAAAAAGCAGGCTCCATAAAAACTAAAAAGAGTACGAATTATCGCATTACTTTCTCCGTAATAAGAGCTACTGCAAAATTTAGTGGAAACAGCCTCGCCTCCTTTGCGTGATTTTGTGCTGTATGCATCTGTTTCTTAAGGAAGGCCTTAATGTTTTCCAATGACAACATTTCCGACGTTTTAAAGAAGTGATCTGATAATTTCTTTATGAGTAGATCACAATATGCAAAAACAACCCTTCATGCAGACTAAAACTTTCCATTCAGTTTCAGTTTAGAAACAACTTTTGTTCGTTTGTTGCTACTGTCACTCTGAACCACCTGCATATGCAATCAGTTTCCATTTATAACTGCATTTCGTTCATAACTTAGACGCATTTCTTTAGGGCAGCATGTACTGTTATCGAAAGAAAGATTCGTTCATCCGTGCAAACCTGTCTGAACAGTGACGATACTGCATGACGTGTACCAGAAAGACGCATACCGCGCTTGATCTGCACATGAACAGTGGAGAAGCGACTTACTAGATTCACAGTCAATCAACAATATCAAATTGTGCCGATAGCATATTCTGACCTAATATCTAAATGGAGTACGAGAGTACTGAATGAGTACAAAATGACAGCAATGTATCTTATACAATTTCTCAATTATACTTTGCACTGAACAGAACGCCTCAGTACCCATTAAATAGCTTGTCTTAGTACAGCCCTGATTAGGCATTAGCAAGATGTACAGATACTGACGGAAGTTATTGTAGCTTTGTTCACCCACAATATAACTACATTACCGAGAGCTTCTAAGGAAAGGCAAATGGACATTGGTCAGTTCCAACCTTAACAGCCATGAAGGAGTATTTAATACAGGCTAATTCCCCTTTAAGGTAACTGAAATTAAGTAGTCTTCGTGTGTCTACCACGTTCACTGAATTTTCATTCCCTTTCACAACACGGAGGTTAAAACGCGTGTAAGCTTTACATGCAGCGCAATCCGATTTC